CACTTGGAGTGCGGGAAACGAGTTAAGTCGGCTCGCGTGAATTGCGCGTACTCCGCGGGAGCCGTCTTTAACTCGGTTCATATAGATTTGCGGTGGAGTGCGGGAAACGTGTAAACTCGGGCCGATTGTAACTCGGTTAGGGCGACAATATATTTTTTTTAAATGTAAACACTTCCGTGCCTTCTCTCCAGCAAAAGAAAAATAAAAAGATGATTCATAAATAATCTTTCTGAAGATTTAAGACTTCTACTAGAAAAACTTAGTAATTCAGTTCAACTTAATTAACATGAACCACTTGCTTTGGGTCAGTCACTGTTGTAAGTACTGAGGACACATCTTGCTCCCAAAGTCACACTCAAAAACCTCTTCATCAACACAGTTCGGTGCCTACATTCCATTCTGTTGATCATGGGGTTAAAATCAATCACTGAACTCGAAAGTTTTAATATGAATATTTTGTAGCGAGTCTCCTCTCTTAGTACACATACGAAAATGTGCTTTCATAGTCATGTTAACCTATTCATTTATCAAGTATTAGTATACAGGTTCTTATTTTAGTATTGAGAAGTGAACAAATTGTCTCCACCTTGAACTTCATCAATCTCACTGTCAACACACATTTCTAACAAGTGAATCTTTAGAAATTCCTAATAGTCCAGGCAACACTATAATACTAACTTTTGCTAACAGCATCTGGAAGAGGGCGATTTCAAACTTTAACCCATAAAGACTAGAGTAAGCAAACTAAATGTTATTTTTATGCAGTTGAAAATAAAAGTTTCTGAGAAAATTTCAACAATTCTAAAATATCCAAAATAAGATTCTTCTTCCAGGTAAGAACACAGTAATAATCAAATCTTCTATCTACAGTGAATAACATAAAAATTGCATAAAATCAGCTCCTGGAGAGAAAAAAATTAAAAACAGCAACTTCATGGTCTATCATAAAAGTAATATTTTACACTTATCATTATAGACCTTTCAGTAGGATTCTTGGACTCAATATTTCTTGTGGATGTTTTTTTTTTGTTAATCCTCACCTAAGGATATTTTTTTCCCATTGATTGTTTTTTTAAAGAGAGTAGAAGAGAGGGAAAGAGACAGAGAAAGAGAAGCACTGATGTGAGAGAGCCACAGTGATTGGTTGCCTCTTGCACTGGCACCAATGGGGTCTGGGGATTGAGTCTGCAACCGAGGTACGTGCCTTTGACCAGATTCAAACCCGCAACGCTTTAGTCTGCAGAATGACACTCTAACCACCGAGCTAACTGGCTACGGCTCAATATCTTGTTTTTAAAATACTTCAACTTCCATAGTCAGAAGGTAGGCCTTTAAAATATACAATGTCCACGGTAAATATAAGGATTAAAATCTGATAGTGAGTCAGTTCCTATTCTTTACTTTTTCTAGTTCTTTCTTTACAAGTGGATGGACCATGTCTGAGGGACACAATGAGGTCGCATCCCTCTGTGAAGAGCCTCTGCATAAAGACGTCTAAGCTATCAGACTCACGTATCTTCTACAATGCTTAGTAATTCAGTGAATCAGAACTATCCCAACAGTACCTGCACCATTACGTTTAGTTAAAGACCACAGAGATTAGAAAACACATTACCCATCTCGGAGGCGGTTCTTTCCATGTTACAAGTCCCTTAACGACCTTTACCATTCCTCCCCCTCCATTCCTCCCTCCCTCCCGTACTCTCTCTCTTTTAATAAGGTTGAGCAAATGGGACTTCATTTTATCTGACTGCCACAGACTAGTGAGATTAATTATTCATGCTCACACTCTCCCTCTTGTTAAGACCATGCATTAGACTAATTTCCTCTTTATGCCCTAGTGGGTGAGTCTCACCCATGGCCACTTGACTCACCCGTCAGAGGTGAATGGATTAGCTGGAAGGTAAGAAAACCTTACCATAGGTTCAATCTAGGAGAAAATAGTCTGTACTAACGCGACCGCTAAATCAAACGGCTGATTCATGAGATATTTTCTTTTCAATAATGCAGTTTATTGTTGAGA